ATTGATTTATTTCGTCACTGTAGATCATTGTACATGATATAGGACAAGTCAAGTTAATTCTGAATATTAACAATTTAATATATGAGTAAGATTAAAATTACAATAGTTACAATTGTTTACAGTTGATTACAATGTAGAATTAGTTAGATATTCTTATTTGTGGAGAATTTGATGGAATGAAGATTGGCAGGGGAAACCGAAGTACTCGGAGGAAACCTGCCCCAGCGCCACTTTGTCCATCACAAATCCCACTTGCTCAGATCACAGTGGTGGGAAGCCAGCGACTAATCGCTTAAGCTATGGCGTGGCCTTAGAATAATGATATTGATAGCTAATGTAATGTTCTCAGCAGATTGGTGCCCTTCTTGATGGCCTGGTATTCTCGATCTCTCTCTAAGCGGCCTACGTAGACGTCCCTCCATCACATGATGTCCTTTCTATCACATATCCAACATGGTGTCTTGATTCCTTTAAGCAGAAGAGAACTGCGCAGTATACATTCATAGCATGCTGGTATAAGCTCAACAAGTCACTTATTCTTGAATTATCTGGTCATATTGATGTTAACTAGGGTTTATCCCCAAACAAGAAAAACTCATCTATACTATAAAAACAATGTTCAAGTAGAAATGTTTTCAAAGTCTTTTTAAATTTATATAGTGCTGGTATATCTTTTATATATTGCGGCAAGTGGTTTAAAAGACGAAGTCCAATATTATTGAAGTTGTTTTTACACATACTCGTCCTACATGGAACTATGAATAAGTTGTCTTTTTTTCTTGTATTGTGTGAGTGTACTGCTGAATTAGTAATGAAAACATTCAAGTTGGATTTCATGTAAACTAATATTTCATATATATACAAACATGGTAGAGGTAATATATGTAACAATTTAAAATATTGTTTGCAGCTGGTGGTTTTTTGTATTTGCATTATAGCTCTAATAGCTCTCTTTTGTATCTTAAAGATCAATTTTGCATTCGCTGAATTGCCCCAGAATATCAATCCATATGATAGCAGGGATTGAAAATACGCATAGTATAAAGTGAGAACTGTCTCTAATCCTGATACTTTTTTGACTATTCGTAAGCCAAAACATATTTTACATAACTTACTTGCTAGTGTTTGAGTATGTGTGGACCACCTTAATTTTTTGTCTAACCACATTCCCAAAAATTTTGTATGTTCTGTATAACTGATGACTTTATCATATAGTTTTATTGATGGGCATTCTGGTTGTCTCTTTTGTGGTTGGTGAAAGGATATTGCTATCGTTTTTTCTTTATTAATAATTAATCTGTTATTTTCAAACCACTCTGTGAGTTTATTTATTGTTGCATTTATTTTCCTTTGGACAACATTAACACTATTTCCTGATATAAAAATACTTATATCATCGGCAAAAAACGTTAGTTTTCCTTGTTCAATACCTGCTTCTAGATCATTAATATATAGCAAAAATAAAATTGGTCCAAGAACAGAACCTTGTGGGACTCCATGTCTTACGGGTCTACTCTGAGATAGATAGTTAATGCTTACATTAGCTTCTCTACATCTATATGTGATTTCCACTTTTTGTTCTCTTCTTTCTAGATATGTTTGAAACCATTTTAGTGCAACCCCTCGTATTCCCATTCTTGTCATCTTTCTTAGCAATATGTCATGATTAACTAGGTCAAACGCTTTTGACAGATCCAGAAATAACGCTATAGTTATTTCTTTCTCATATAGCGATTTATAGACCCCCTCTATGAACTCTGCAATTGCTGTTTTTGTTGTTTTCCCTTTGCAGAAACCATGCTGTTTGTTATTAATTATACTGTGGTTATTTAAAAAGGATAAAAGTCTTATGCATAATTTTTTCAATTATTTTTGAAAAAACAGAAATTAGTGATACTGGTCTATAATTCGCAACATCCGTTTTGCTTCCTTTCTTATACAAGGGTTTCACTTGTGCTATTTTTAGCTGGTCAGGGAAGTATCCGGTTGAGAGTCACTGATTTATTGTATATGTTAAGGCAGATATTATCCTGGGATAGCATTTTTTAATGATATACTCTGGGATGTCATCTATACCTGTTGATTTTTTGTTACCAAGTCTTTTAATTATGCCAACCACTTCCTCTTCAGTAGTTACATTTCCGACTAGGATTTGCTCTAACTCATCCACAGCAATAGATAATATTTTTATTAACAAATATAAAAACAAAAGTTTCATTGTTCTTCCATGGGAAAATGGATTATCTGATCACGATGGGCAGATCATTATAATATACAATGTTACATATATAATGAAACAAAATCAGAGGTATACCCGTAGGGTCATCAACAAATCCTCTCTATTAGACTTCCAAATTAATCTAAGCTATGAATTATGGGATGATATTTTTGTAGATAGTGATGTGGATACAATGTTTAATAACTTTTTAAATACTTACCTTAGGATTCTAAATTCATTTTTTTCGGATCACAAAATCACAAAGTACAGATCCTAATAAATCATGGATAACCCCAGGAATTATAAAATCATGTAGTAAAAAAAGGGAGCTCTATATAAAAATTAAGAGCAATAATGATTCTAGATTAAAAGAACACTATAAAATGTATTGCAAGATATTAAGTAGAGTTATCTCAACTGCAAAATAGTTATATCTGAACAAAGTCATAAGAACTTCCAATAATAAAACAAGAACAAGCTGGAAAATTATAAAAACATGACTGGAAATAGCCAAGCTTCTACTGATGTAACTTGTTTAAATATAAAGGGTAATATCACTCAGGACTACAAAAATATAGTAAGATCGTTTAATAACTTTTTTTAAATATAAACAATTCTACGAAGAAATAGACAAATAATACCATTGAAACAGATAAGAAGTTCATGGATTATTTATACACTTCATTTCCAAAACCATCTCAGAAATTGGTATTAAAAGCAACTAATAACAATGAAATAGAAGAGACAATAAGATCTATAAAACTTAAAGCAGCTTGTGGATACGATGGAATTACTACCAAATTAATAAAAGCAAGTGCACCATATATATCATCACCATTAACTTACATATTTAATAAGTCATTGTCTACAGGAATATTCCCTGCTCGATTAAAATATTCTGAAATAATACCTATACATAAAAAATGGATAAAACCGACATGTCTAATTATAGACCTATATCTTTACTCCCAATCTTTTCTAAAATTTTTGAAAAAGTTATATATAAAAGAATGTTTTTACACTTAAATACACATGACCTGCTAACACAGGAGCATTTCGGCTTTAGAAAAAACTCTTCAACTACATTAGCTACTTATAATCTAAAGGATAATATTTATAGGGCTTTAAACAACAAATATATAGCGGGTGGAATTTTTTGTGATCTGAGTAAGGCTTTTGACCAAGTAAATCATGATATAT